AGAAATTAAATGAAAAATAACAGAAGAGTCACTATTATAATTCTCAATACCTGAAATTATAAGAAATTCCTGGATTCAAATAGAAAGGAGTATGAGAAACTTATAAAAGAAGTGATTAGGTCTAGTTACTGATTATATTTAAGAGGTAAAATTTTTAAATATTAGTAAGATTCTGAGCACTAAAAATAAAATCAAAAGGGGAGTCTCATCCTTGATTGAAGAATGCTAGAATAAAATTAATTTTTCCAGATTTTAGATTTAATAATTCTAAGTGTCCTGAGACATACACATAGTACAGATGGACGGCTATCAGGCAAAGTGTAAATGAACACTTCATGGAAATTGACAGTCCTCTGGCTTTAGATTTGGGAATCCTTCATGTAGAGCTAAGATTTGAAGTCATGACAGTAAAAAAAATAATAAATTCTGGGGCAGGAAGTTTAGATCAGGAAAATTGGAGTGTGAAAAGGTAACTTGCAGTGATGAGTTCATTTGTGGATGAGGAATAAGAGTAGAGGGTGGCAGAACGCAGAGAGTAAAGGAGTAGGTTAGAGAACCAGACTAGTGCAGAGCCGCAGGTGCCAGAGCAGAGAGCATGCGAAGCAGCCACGGCGTGGCCACCAGTGTCCATTGCTTTAGGGCCAAGATAATGACAGAATGGTAATGCGCTTTAGAAGCAATGAGAAGAATCTAGAATTATCAGTTGATGATATTAGGTTTGACTGTAAAGTTTTGAGGTTACCTTAGTCTTATTCTATAATTTTCTCACTTGATAAAGCCCTTTGTATTGTATTGTTATCACCAGCAACTTAAACGTTAGTCAAGAAATATAACATTTGTGTCTGAGAATTATGTAATTTTTTTAGATGTCTTAAGGACTTAGAAAAATATTATTTAACCTATGTGGGATAATACAACTTTTATTTCATAATTGAGACAGAATTCACACCACTGTGTTCCATGACTTGAAAAATCATTTCCCTGTAAAAGGTCAGTAATGTGTAAATTTTATTAAAATTTTAAGACAAAAAAAATTGTGTTAGAAAGGGGAGATTGGTGTTTTTAAAAATTTTCTCACCATCTATGTACTTTTCATTTATAAACAAGACTAAGTACATGTAGTATTAAGGATATTGGTATTATGTAGTATTGAGGCCAGTTGCATTAAATTCATATCTATAATAAGAATTTATGTGCAATAATGTCATTATTCTTAGTTTCTGTATAGTAGTTGGTGTTACTGACCATTCTCTCTTTGAAATTCTTATCTATAGCTTCCACACCCCCCTATCCTGCTCCCCAGCTCCCAACAACCTCTCCCTTCTGTTGTCATCTTCTTCATATTGAATCCTAAATATGAGCATTCCCCAAGCTTCACCTCTCTGTCCTTTTATACATGTGCCTCATGTGTTTTCTTCCTGGGAGCTTAACTGGTGGACTTCAAACTGCGCTCCAGGGCCCTAAGGTTTCTCAGAATTGTCTCAGGACAGTTTTGCTCATCTTTTAAGTTAAATAGCCCTGTCTCTATGTTTTTTGTATTGGGGTTTTGTGTAAAACTTCATTTGAAAAAGCAAATCATTTCTGCTGCTTAAAAATACATACATAAACAGAGTGAGAGGGAAGGATCAAAAACTGTTGACTTAAATTTCTCTTGTGTGAGTGACACCCAAGTGAACACCTCTGATGTTTCAGCCCAGGACTAGTCCTAGGCTATCTTTTGTCCCCTGGACATCTCAGCCTGGCTCGACAGCTGTCATTCTCACCTCAGATTTCCACATCTGACATACAATGCACTTTCTCCTGCAAAGCTAGTTCTGCCTCACAGAAATTTATATTTCTATTCATTGCTTTGCTACTCTAAAATATGCAAGTTCAAAAGAAAAGAATTAGTGTTGTCTTTTCATTGCTCAAAGTCATCAGTCTCTAAGACTTGTTGATTTTGCCTTAGATCGTGGTTCACATATTTATCCTTTTCTTGCAAATAACACAACTTCCGTAAGGACTGAGGTATCCAGTTCCTTATGTTTTGGACTGCTCTCTGAATCTCCAAGGAGATCTCTCCAACTCTGGGCACTTAGCCCTATACTATACTTTGAAATGCTGAGACAGATTTCAGGGGTTGTGTTTGTTTGTTTGTTTGTTTTAAATAATATATTCATTATCATCACCACTCTCATTGTAAACTCCTGAAGCATTTCTTCCTTTTCTGTTTTCGCTGTGTTAAATGGGGATCACGCTCAGCCCCCAAACCCAACAATAATTCAGCATTTTATTTAGTGCCTTGTATGTGCTTGGCATTTTGCTAAACACTTTATAGGTATTACTTAATTTTCCAAATAATTTTCCAAGTGAGGCATTATTATTCTCTGCTTTATCAGTGGGGAAACAGAGATTAAGCAACCTATTCAAACACAGCAAATAAATGGAAAAATCAGGATTAGCACTCTTAACCAATTAGCTCCATAGGCCAAGTGTATAAGCTGTCTGTTCCCCACTCCCCTGCTTTTAAACGAGGGGAAACGTATGTGGGCTGTTGGGCCAGGACCACTGAAGGCAGCAGTCAAGGGAGAGGGCACTGGCTTCGCTGTTTCTAAAGAGCCTTAAGGGTAACGTTCAGCCAGCTGTGAATCCACACGTCTTAGAAGAGCAGCGCTCCACCTCCTTCTCTGTGACTGCCTTAGGCCTCAGGCTGCCCTTGTGATTTTTTTTCCTCAAGATTGTCCTTGATGTTGATCATGAATTGATTTCACCCCATCGAAAAGTGTTTTAGATACTGTTCTGAAGTGACCCTAGTCTCTACTCCCCACTTCCTGTTGACTCCTTTTCTGAAGTCTGGGGCCAGCCTTATCTCCTGCCAAGCCTGCTGCTCTAACTGTGTGTGAGCAAATGCTTGATGATGATGATGATGATGATGTTGATGTTAGAGCTACTTTGTTAATTCACTGGTTGGGTTGTAAACTCATGCTTTTTGTGTGCTCAGTCTTATCCCTAGGCCACGGCACTGTCCGTAACAGATAAGGAAGACCAACTTACTGGTTGAGAGTATGAGCTCTGAGTCAAGCTGCTTAAGTACAAAATTTGAGCCTGCTGTTTAATTACTGTGTGACATTGGACAAGATATTTAAGTTCTCTGTGCATTATTTTTCAGTTAATAGATACAGTAAAGTACTTACATCATACAGTTTAAAGATTAAATGATATAGGATGCTGAAATCACTTAGAGAAATACCTGGCAAGTAGTAACTACTAAATAAATATTAATTGATGTGTGTGTGTGCTCTGTGGTGTCTGATTCTTTGCAACCCCACAGACTCTAGCCGGCCAGGCTCCTCCGTCCATCAGATTCTCCAGGCAGAAATACTGGAGTGGGTTGCCATTTCCTAATCCAGGGTTATTGTCGTTAGTAGCCCTCAATGAATATTGGTTGACTGCATGTTAAGAGTCTAATCTGTACCAGTAAGCACTTTGCTGTGTTTTTCTGCATACGTACTGTTTGCGCCTCAATATAACACTGTGAGGTTGATATTATTATTATTATCCATATCTTATAGGAAGAAAATTGAAACTGAGGTTGAATGACTTGCCCTGGGTCACGTAACTTGAAAATGGTGTGCAATCAGTATTAGCGCATGGTCTGTGTGACTTCAAAGCCCATGGTACTTTTCCTATACCACTCAGCTTTCACAGAGGTCTTTGCAGTCCTTTCTGCCTAAGCCAGTCATAGTGCATTCCTTGAGTTTATTGAGCTAACTGCATCAGACTGTTATTCAATCATCCAAGTACATGCCCTGCTTTCTATATTAGGAATACTTTCTTTAAGGACAGAAACACTGACATCTCATATGCTGTTTACATCATTGATGATTACGATTAAATACATAAATGGCTCAATTGCTATCATTGTTTCTTAAAAGGTGGTTGTAAAGGACTACTAATGGTATCTTCATCAAATAAAAAAATGAAGTTAATAGTGCATAATTTTATTTCCCTGTTTATAATTTATTAATCACTTACAGTTCTGCAGAGCATATAAAAATTGAAATACCTGTTTTCTTAGGGATTAAAAAATAGCATGACAAACATATATTCCCTTACAAAGAGATTTTCTTCCTCCTTTTAGCCCAGAAGTTAAAAATACTGCTGTGGGGATGTTGAAGTCATCTTTATGTGTCTCTGCTTCCTCTCTCCCCTCACACATACTGTGGCATTTATTCATTCACTCAATTTAAAGATTTAAGAGTGAAGAAAATAGATAAGGTCCTCGCCCCCGTGGATCTTGTTTTAGTGGGAGGAAACAGGCATAAACAAGTAAGGAAATAAAACCATTACACATAGCGACCACGTCTGGCATTTCAGAGTTTTCTGTGACGAGGTTGGAAAGTGCGCCCCTGGGCTGGGGGGACAGGAAGAGTAAGGGGCTTGCAAAAAAGGGCTTAGGCACACGTCTTCCAAGAAGAGCACACACACGTGGTCCCTGGGTTATTGCTTGGATGCAACATATGGCTTTTACTTTGCTCTTCTGCCACCGAGGTTCAAGGAGACTGTCAACAGTAATGCTCTTCCCATGGCAGAAGTAAGAGCGTCAGGCGATTTTCACAGGTGCTGTGTTTCTTTCTTCTGCTTCCCAGGATGAGACAGGGCCTAGAATCAAAGCAGCGCTTGGTTTTCTCTATACTTGTAAAAGATTAGCCTTAGGTCAACAGGGATGATGCAAGCAGGGGGCAAAAAATGCAAGAAAATAGAGGTGCAGCCCAGAAGGAGCGTTTGGGACTGTAAGCTGGTTTGTTTCCCGCCATGGAGCAGGGAGAGAAAGTCTGCAGGGTTAGGAGGCCCAGCTGCCGTGGCCCTGCAGTGGCCTCAGCCTCCGTGCCCCGCCAGGTGCCTGATCGCCAGTGTGAAACAAGCCAGAAGTAAGGGCTGACATTTCCAGGCGACAGTTGTGGCTCTTTTGCCTGTAAGAAGCACCTCTTAACCCTCAAACTTGTCCGTGCCTTTTTCAGGCTGTAGAAGCTCAAATCCGAAGTTTCGGGCAGACGCCGTCTCAGCTGCTCATAGAGCCCCACCCTCCCAGAGGCTCTGCCATGCAAGCGGTAAGTGCAGCCTGCTCTCTCCCCATTTCTCGCGTCTCTTTGAGACCCTGCTCGCCATTCTTAACAGTCTTCATTGTCCTTGAGCTTCTCCACCACACCTTGGCCTGTTCTTCTAATGTACTATTTGTGAATCTGCTAACAGCCAGCAAATACTGCCTGTTCTGGACTCTTAAGGAAGGCAGGCATTGCTCCAATGCTCTGGTATTTTATCAGGGCGTCATGTTCTGTGTTACAGAATTAAAAGTTCCATCACTCTCATTCTAGGGTAGAGGGTGGATACGTTTTCTGGTTTGATCCTATGAGTGCCTAGATTAGTTTTCCTATTGTGTTTATTCTTTATATCCCAATGTTTTTCACTTTGGGAATTTTGAAAGTAATCCTAATACGTAGGCTATGTTACTGAGAGTCAGGAACCTTGGAGGAAAAAATGATGGGGTGATATACCAAACACCCAAAGCTTAGTGCCTGGAACAGTGATTTTTCTTTCCTGTGATTCTGAGGGCTAGATAGGCATTTCTTCTCATTCACCTTGCCTCCCTCATGCACTGCTGTGGCGGGTGCTGAGAGGGAGACTGCTCTTTCCATGTGGTCTTTCATCAAGGAAGTTGGCCCAGGCCACTCCCACTCGCAGTGTTCCAGAACACTTCTGCATGACTTCTTGAAGCTTGCTTTTGAACTTGCACAGTATCATTTGTGCTGCTTTCTATTGGCCAAAGCAAGTCAGAGGCCCTCCTAGAATCAGAAGCAGGGAAATAGACTAGAGCTGTAAAATCTGTGGGTGCTTCTCCTTCACGGTTCCTGAAATTCTGGGGGGAAATTCTTTCATGACAAAAAAATATTCAGCACAGGAACAAACACTGCATGGCATGATAAAAATATTATAAGTGTAGGCTATAGGTGTTGTATTTTTTCTTGAATTGTCCATCAGTAAAACAAGCTGCTCATTACTGTTTTAAAGTAAGAATGGGGACATAGAGTCTGTTTCCATAAATGCAATGAATAATTTAGAATAGGTTCTAATTCCATGTTGGGGCTTCGAATGGTAGGATTTCATAGGTGCTGGGAAGGAGAGGGGCAGCAAGCAGGGCCCAGGATACAGACGTGGTCCTCTGCGCCTCCGACTCTGCCTCTTCCCACCTTTCCTTCTTCTTTGTGTCTTTTCCCCTTTTCCCATCTTTATCATCTTCTTTCTTCTTCCAAGTCATTTTTCCCCTTCTTTCTCTAATGATATGAATTGGCCATTATTATAAACTACAAACATTTAAACATTTACTTGCATACCTTTTACCCTCAGTGTTTTTAAGCAGGGGAAATCATATTTAAAAGAACGTAAAGGGGAGCTTTTAGTGAAAAGACTACACAGAAAGCGGACATTTGGCAAGAACAATGGAAGATAATGCCATAAAAATAGTACAAATGATTTATGTTTGGGGATTGGAATTAGTTTTGGTAATAGCTTGTCAATGAGATGCCGGCTGCTGCAGTGCTGGCTAATGGAAGCACCTCCCCTGCTCCACTGACTTCCTCCCTGGGTCACTGCACAGCCGTGGTCACCGGGGCCAAGAGGGGGCTCCTACTGCCAAGCCTCTCTCCGTGACCAAGGGATGACTGGCCCACCGAGGCAGATCAGCCTCCCTGTCCCGAGGACAGGAGGCCATCTTGCCCATTATCTTTATCCTCTGAATCAAAAACCTGAACTCTTTTTCAGACCCTGTGCAAATGGTGCTTTTCCCTCTCACACATATGTGGGTGGGAAACAAAAGTGTGTTAGAAAGAAACCAGAGATGTCAACAAGTGCGCATGTAATCTGGGAAAACCGAATGAAATCTAGCTATCGAGCTGCCCCACTTCTATGTCAGACGGGGCTGGCAGGGGCCCCTGGGGTTGATGAGGGTTTCTTTCTCTCCCCGCCATGCCTGGCTGTCCTGCTCATCAGCAGCTGTCACCATCCCTCTGGGTGAGCCCAGTGTGCCGGGCTGGCCTTTTCTTGCATCTCGTGCCCCTCATTCCACACTCACTGGCTACGGATGCGATGGCACTCCCCAGAGCATTTCTCGGTCCTTGCCTCGGTTAGGCGCTCTCCTCAGGCTGAAAGGCGCAGGAACTACCCAAGAGCCAGCATGTTCTCAGGATGCAGGAGCGGCTCTGGATGCGGTGTCCGCAGCTTTCTGGGGAAGAGGGCTCTTCTTGCCGTGTGGCTAAGAGTTGGCCTGCTAGAGGCACTGTGTACACGAGGCATTCTTCCTATGTGTTAGAGATTTTTCCGTGTTTTTTTAAGGGCATAAACATTGGAATTATTCAATTTGAACCTAATTGTATTTGCAATATGAGCTGTTAAGCTCAGAAATACGTATCAGCTTCCTTTCAGTGAGACTTCATGATGGATGTTGTCATCTGACTTCCTCAGAGTTTATAAATTGACTTTGGTAAATATTATTATTTTTTTTTAAAAACCCACACAGTTGAAAAACACGGTTTGGTTTTCTGAAATGACGTTCATTTCCTTGTCTGCAGACTTCATCAAAGCTAGCTTATAGGAAATTTTGTTTGTGGTTGGCTCATTGCTTCTCATTTTTACAGAATTTCACAGAAATCCTTAAAACCATGTCAGGGATTCTCAGCATAACAAAGGTGGCTTATTGATATCAGAGGTTTTAAAACTCAAAGACCCAAATGTTTATTGTTTTACTGCTATTCAGATGAGTTCCCCCATCAGTGATGACTGCAGTACACATACACACACACACAAACGGAGCAGAGATTAAAGCCGCCTCGTGCTGTGTTAAGTGCGTGAGCCATAATATACACCAGGTGTAGTAATTAGCAGGCCCACGAAGGCTGCCTGTTTGTCTGCTTTTGCTGCTGTTGCTGTATCCCCCTGTGTTTTCACACCATCAGATAGTTGGATTTAATTGAGGCCACATCAGATGAGGCATTACTGACACCTTTAATTGAATGAGCATCCAGGGAGGATTAACTCATAATATTGATTGGCTTTTAGCCACTTGCTCAGAAGGGTGTCTGGGTAGCTTATTAGTTGCCTTTATTTACACCTTTATGCAAAGAGTGCAAATAGGAATTCTTAGTGCAATATGTTTTTCTAAGTACTCTTAATAACTTTTTTAAAAGGACTGATAATAAAAATGCAAATGTATTTAATTTTTTATTAGCAGTTCTGAATGAATATGTGTTAAATATATGCGCCTGCACATTTACATATACCTGGTATTTTGAAATATGGCAATAGGAGAGCAACCAGAAGCACTTCATCAAGGTGTTTCAATTCTGAATGATACTCATCAGCTATTAGAAAATAGACATTGCTGTGCAGAAATGCTGAAAATGCACAGTGCAATTACTGTATGATAGCATAGTACCACAAAGTATAAATAAAGCCAATAAATCAGCGTGGTGTTTTATATGTCTCAGATTATGACATATGGTTTGTAGGAATGTTCTAAATCCTTAGTAGTCTTCCAGATTTATTTTGTTGCTAGCTATTAGAACAGTGTTTTGTTTGTCATTTCAGTTATATTTTGCTTTTCAGAGGAGAAATCAAAAGTCTTGAGCTTTAGTTTCTTTACTGACCAGGAGGAGAGGCATCTAGGTATTTCTGTTTATCCTTAGCTACAGCAGAAAGCACTGGCATTTGCATTATAATAGGGCAGTGTTTATGACTTGGTACACTATATAAATATATTGTTTTTACAAGTACACTTAATTATGCATTGCTTTGAAACACCTTTATAATTAAGTTTGTGTATCACGCTCATAAATTATTTCTCTACTGTAATTATACATGCATGCTGTACAACTGTTGTTTATAAATATATTTGTTAATTAATTATCTCTTTATTTAGTTGTCAAAATCCCCATACTGACTCAACACAACTTTTGATAATCTTTGGCAATTACCTTGGCTGGCTTTTGTGCCTATGGCCTGTTCTCATTCTTTTTTCTCTTTTGCACTTGATGCATAGTAATTGTTGGAATGGTTTAACACAATCCTCAATACTTTGCCTATTTAGAATCTAAATCAAATTACTCTTTTTAGTTCTTCTTGGGAATGGGGTGGGGAAGAGAGTTAATAAAAATTTATGGATTTTTAAAGTGACCGTTCATGTATTTTACTTTGGTCACCTAGAAATTCAACTAATGACATGTGGAAACTAAACAAATCCTAATTGCTGTTTCTCTAAGCCTTTCTGCTCACTGTGCTCTCACTTGCAACTTGGGCTAACATGGTCTTCCTCTTCTTTTCCTATACCCTCTTTCTTTTCTGTCTTTCCTTGTCTTTCCTTCACGTATATTTGGATCTTGTCTTGCCCACTCAACAGTATCTCCTCCTGCAGAGCCCACTGATGTTCACAGACCAGGCTCAGCAGGATGTTATCATGGTTCTAAAGTTCCCCTCCAATTCCCCTGTCACTCACGTGGCGGCCAACACCCAGCCTGGGCTGGCGACTCCTGCTGTGATCACAGTCACTGCTAACCGGCTGTTCGCCATGAACAAGTGGCACAACCTTCCAGGTAAGTGAAGACATACCCTTCTAAGGCACAGTAACTGCTGAACACTGTATAAAGATATTGTAAGTGTTAGTCAGTTGTGTCTGACTCTTTGTGACCCCATGGACTGTAGCCTGCCAGACTCCTCTTGTCCATGGGATTCTCCACACAAGAATATCAAAGTTGGTAGCCATTCCCTTCCCCAGGGCATCTTCCCGACCCGGGGATCAAACCCAGGTCTCCCACATTACAGGCAGACTCTTTACCATCTGAGCCACCAGGGGTCCAAAATACATTGTTATATCCACCTAAATATGTTATGTCTCAACATTTAAGGTTTTTAGTTTTCAAACATGTTAGTCTGCATCAAAATGTTGAATACTTAAAAAGGCTTAAAGAGGTCCCTCTGAAGCATGTAATATTAATACAAAAGTTAAAACACGAACAGTTCTTTGACATCTAGTGGTTTGTGTTCACTCCTTGGATATAAATATTGTCATATAATAATATTCCATATCGTGTCCATAAATAGCCTGTACTGATTTATCAGATGTTCCTTTTCTTCCCACATGCTCATTTGCTCCTTATACACTTCTCACTATGTACCGTGTGCCTTTTTATGCAGGGCATGGAACTGTGTGTTGTGGATGATAGAAAAAAAGAACACTTAAGTTACACAGCCAAAATACTACAAACCCTTAAGTATATCCTGTTCTTTCATTAAGTGCTGAGGAATTAGGGTGACTAAGGGCAAGATACTGAAACAACCATTAGCATCATAAACCATCACAGCTTGAAGAGACATGAGAGTTGGTCTTGTCCAGGCCCACATTTCCCACTGAACATACGGAGCCCCCGGGAGCTGCCTTGTGCAGTATCACATGTGGCCACTCCGTGGCAGGGCCAGGTTTGAACCCGAGTTTTCTGACTCAAATTTTATGATCACTCTTCTGTAATTTATTGCCTCTCATTAGAACAGGAATGTTGGGGTCTGGATTTAGCACTGTTCCTTGTGGCCACTGGTTAGAAATTCTCTTTTTAAAGAAGGAAAAATCTTTCAAAGTCCTGGAGATTATAGGGTTTTTATCCCCAAGCCATTGTTTTACGTAGGAAATTTGAAAGGATAGCCTTTAATATTCTGTTAACTTGTTATTAAATCTGTAAAGTGTACATAAAGCACTACCCATTATAATACCTAAAATGGTTGCACAGATGCAAATTCTTGATCAAGGGTCTTGTGCCATATTAAATGCTAGAATGTTTAGAATGGAACAGAACTGAATTGATGTTCAAATAAAAACTAGATGACTGACTGACTATGGTCAATAAGGTAATCAGGTACCCTTCATGAAAAATCCATTGTTGGTGTCAGAATTTCTTAAATATAGCCATTTTCCTGGCCATTAGAAATGAAATGAATGATGATATTTGATTAGAGAATAGATTTCATAAATGGTATAGAAAGTTAAAATCGAGATACATATAATGTCTCTATTACTAGGTCCTCTTATTCCCTTTTCTTCAAGTGAACTAACTTATCTTGCAGAGGTGAATGTGTATGCAGATGACATACTTATATTTTGGGACTAAAGATCATAATGTGATTAATGACCTTGATTCTTTTGCGGTTGCTTCTCTCAGTACCACTCACTGGAAGAAAACCATGCTGGTGGAGTGTTCTGTTGGGCACGCAGGGTCAGCCTCCGGCGCTGTGTGCGGTTACAGCCTGGCATGACACCAGGGTGTGCGGCACCAGGCCCCTCCCAGCCTGCTCGGCCTGGGTGGCTGCCCTGGCAGCTCGGGGCCCTCGCTCGGTTTAAACATTTAAACCAAGTGACAGCACGTGTGAGGAGAGACAAACCTCTTCAGCTGCTGGGAAGCCCCAAGCACTCTGCATTCCTGGCTTTCAGCTAGCCTAGCAGCGAGCAGGAACTGAGCCGGCTCCACCAGAGAGCCCTGGGTCTCTAGCTGATCCTCAGGTATCAGGCTCCCTCCGTCCCTGTGATGACTGAGCTCCTGACACTCCCCTTTGAAGCAAGCCCATTTCCCTGCCTGGAAGGCTAGCTGCCCTTCCTGCCTACTGGTCAGCTGTTCTCCCTGCTCGCCACTTTTCTCTAGGTCTGTAAAGTGATTTAGGGGCAGCAGCCTCCTTCTGCTGGAGGACCACATATGGTACGTCCAGCTGCTCTGAGCCCAGGCGCGCTTTTCTGTAAGATGAGAGGAGAGAAGACTGCATATGTTTTGCTAGTTCCTTGCCTTGAATTGTCCCCACTGAGCCTTCTTTGGGTCTGTACCTTGTGTCACTGATGGTTTTGTCCCCATCCTCTGGCTTTATAGCATGATACAGCCACTCTTCACCAGATAATACAAAGAATGATAACGTATGGAAAAACTCGGGGATTATCCTGCTACAGCGTTATCCCCAATTGACAGTACACCTACCCCTAAAAGTATTAAGTATACATTTTATTAAATCTGTGCCTCATTTCAGGTGTGTAATAAGCATACCTGATCTTTCATCCTATGTTTTGCTACCTCTACCTGTCAATGTGCCTTGATTGAAACAAATGTCAAAACTTGCTCACAGTTTTTCTTCAGTGACTATCAAATTCATGTTACACTTTTTTTTTTTTAGATTCTGATTCTTTTCTGATATTCTCTGATTCCCATAATTCATTCATAAGACAGCTAGCTCCTGTCAATGTAGTGTCTTGAGTCCTGATTTAGAGAAAAAATCATCTTTATCCTTCCATCTCATTCAGGAGACCTTGAGAAACATCCAGAAACATAAAATAATGGCACCTAACCTTCATAGAGCATTTTCTAGCTTCTAAATACTGTTTTAATCACTTCACAGCTATTAACTCACTGAATCCCCTCGACAACCTTAAGATGTAGGTTCTATACTTAGGTTGAACCATACAAAATTGCCATTTTAATGGGTCAAGACATTAGGTGTTGGTGATTCCGTGTGGTTCAGCCTAACCCATTGACAGAGCAGGAGCCTGAAACGCTGAGTAGACGTAACTGGCCAGAGGTCACACAGGCTGTCAGGGCAAAACCGGGAACCGAAGCAACCCCAAAAATAGCTCACCTGCTCAGTCTCTGTTTTAATGTTTCTGTGATCCCAGATGCCTAAGGACGCGGGGACAGCTCCTCAAGGTGTTAGCGTTGCGGGGCACTGGTGTGCTGCAGTAGATGCCCTGTTGGCAGATGAGAGGCCGGGATCCTCCCTGACGAGTCCCTTTGTGTGTGCTGTGACGTCTTTACTGGCCGAGCTGTGATCAGCAAAAACAGTACCTCTAGCAAAAGAGGGGGTCCTACGGCTTCCACTTCGCATCTCCTTTAATATCGTATTCATACTCAGCTATAATTTTCAGTGCTAATATTATACATCAGTATTACTGATATTCAGGTATTTTGTCATATTAGTGATCGTCCAAAAGATCATTGAAAAGTCCTTGAAAAGTTGGTATTTACTAACAGCAGAAATGCTGACATAATGAATTTAAAATTAATCTAATGAACACAATGGAATGTATCCCATTTTTATTTTCAGCCCCTCAAGGACAGTCAGAAAGATGTCTTAAAATCTGATGATATTAATATCATCTTAATCTTAGAATCTGATGATATTAAGCAGAGCTCTAATACCAACCAAGCAGTAGTTAAAATGCTTATGAGTCTATAAAAGGCAGATATTGACCAGAGTGAATGGCTGAGTCATTGGAGGAAAATCTTTTGGAAAAGGACCAAGAATTTAACTCTCAGAATTACAAAGCTGAAAAGATTATCTGTTCTAAACCCTTCATTCTGGGGCTTCTGATTTGCCCAAGGTTGCACAGGTAGCCAGTGGTTGGTCCTGCTTCCTACAATACTTCTTCTACCTTTCACAGGGCTGCAGCCTAGAAAATCTCTTTTCCATCACAAAATAGGTGCCTCTGAATCCTTAAAACCATTTTGAAAATTAAACGAACTATCCTTAGTATGGATTGATTTTTGTTACTCATTTGCTTCTCAGTATTTTTAAATGGAAACCATGGAAATATTAAATATTAATAAAAGTTTTTTTTCAACCGCAATCAAATCTTCAGGAAAACATTTCAGCCAAATGCATTTAACTAAAACATTTATCTGCAGATAGCTTTCTTTATTTTTATTCCAACTTTCAATTGATTGATTTAAGTGATGGATGAAGCATTGAATGTTCTTTGACTTGGAGCTTTCCCTTTCTCCATCATAAATTGACGTTTTTGTGGATCCTTTGTGCTGCAGCATTCAAAACTGCCTTTTTAAGAAGTAACAAAAAAACTAGTATTTGCTACAGTCAGCAGATGGTTGTCACATTTTGTTTTCAGCGCTCTTTACCACTTAATTTTGTTTTGTTGCAGCATCAGAGGTTGCCAGTCAAGCATCTGCTATAGCTTATGGCCTAGGACTGGAGCCACTGCTGATGGCACATGTTCAGAACAGCACTAATCTAAAATAAATGTTTAATAAGCTAGCCATAGAAGCACCTGGATTTTTTGTTGTTGTTGTTTAAATTTCACAAAACTGTCTTGAGAGATTTGGAGGTTGGAAACAATTCTACATGAGATTTGACTTAAGCATTTTTCTGTAGCTCAGTATATGAAAAATAATGCTCTCTCTCTCTTTTTTTTATCTTTTGTGAATTCCAGCTCATCAAGGTGCTGTACAAGACCAGCCATACCAGCTGCCAGTGGAAATCGATCCTCTCATAGGTCTGTCACTTCCTTCTCTCTTTGCGATTCATTAAGCTCTGTATGGTGGCCCTGAAGTGTAGATTACAGTTGTTTTTCACTTGCTGGTTGCTGGGAATGGAATTTTCCTGATAAACCATTTGCATGCAAATTGGAATGCAATGAGCTGTGGCTATGCTGGTATTTCATCAACTCCCCCTCGTTGGTTTGCCTAATTTGAACAGGCCTAGGACGCGTGTCACTGAAAATTAATATGGATGCTGTAATAATGTGTGATTGAGAATGCGCATGAAGTACTGTCAGGATAATATTGGATCTTTTCATCACTCAGACTTGTTGATGAGCAGGAGCGAGGCACGTTATGATGAATTGGTGCACCAGTAATGTGATGGAGCTCCTTTGCTAGGGAAATTTTCATAATAACAGTGGGTTCTTAGCAGCTCTGTGTTGAGAAAAATAAAACTGTAGTGCCAGAGTTTCATCATTAAAGGAGATCAATCCTTTCTTCCTGGACCCTCCTTTCAGTCTGAGGGGATTAATGTGCAATTGCGGAGCAGTTTCAAAGTTGAAATATATCGCCCAGCCAATGGCAGTGTTAAGATATTTGTATTCATTTTCCTAGGGTCCTGCGGCCCAATAAATTGCCATTGGAGGTTAAATTTGTTCAGGGAGAAAAAAAAAGAAAAAGGAGACCAGAAAGAGCCATTGGGATGAAATGAGCATCTGTGGCAGACAACTTAGAATATTTAATTGCTGCTGTGCTTTTTGAGTAGGTTAGTTGAAATCTCTAGTTTAGCATTTTCTACCCTATAGTGGGGATTTGAACTGTGACTCCACTAAGAATGGTACACCTTGGTATTGAAGATGCTGTTCAATAACTTTTAGAATAAAAAACCTAATTGCCCAGCTGTAGGGGTATGCTACTAGCATGGATGTTTGTGTTTGCCTTGTAATTTTGTCATATTTCCCCAGCACAAATGAAATTGTTAGTATTTTAAAGTGTTTAGATAAAACATAAGAATAAGCAGATTTATTATTTTAAAATTCAAGGTGTTCCTTGTGCATATGTCACTTTTTTTTGAGGGGGGTTCTGTAACACCATTGTTTCAGTGGAGAGTTAAATGGCCACCATTTGCAGATGAATTATCAAGATGAACTAAAATAACCTGAAGCTCTAAACTGTGTTTTATCGTTTTCCCAAATATAAACAGAAATCTAAGAATGAAGTGTCTATATGAAAGATAACCAGTACCCTGGTTCCTAAATCTTGTTTTGCTTTGAGTAGATATGATTTGCCGTTTATTTTTTAAAAAAATTAAATGCCCACTTGGGTAAAGTTCTAAGAGTTAGGAAAATAATAAAACCCATTTGTTGTGCCACTTAGAGCCTGGTTTCTGAAGTATAGAATCATTGTTTGTCTTAAAATTTGATAATGAATATCATATAGTATAAAATCTAAATGAATTCAGAAATGGTAACCCTGTAGAGAAGGCATGGGCGAAAAGGGCAAGATAGTCAGTATTTTAGGTTTTGTGGGCCATAGGGTCTCAGACACAGCTACTTAACTCTGCTGTTATAGCACTCAAGAAGTCACAGATAATGTATAAAGAAGCGAGCATTGCTCTGTTCAGTAAAGCTTCATATGCAAACCCAGGCACAAGCTGGATGCAGCCTTCAGGCCACAGTCTTCCCTGCTGACCATTGGTCATCTGACTGTTCCCATGTCTCCTGAAGTAGTTATTTAAAACCACGTATCTTCTCACACATTTTTAAGTTGATGTCTAAAAAATTTAAACATGATTATCATCACAAGTTTAAATAGTTGCAAAGGTTATGATTTTTGGCATAGTGTGTAAAATTTTAAGTACATCCAGCAGACACTAAATATCAAAGTCACTTGATAGTCAACCTTTTCTGTTTTTAAAAAATTCACTGGAAGAAATTTTTACCATTTGAACGTTTTTCTCATCTAGAATTTGTTCTTTCTTTCTGCTTTCCCTACACAATTTTATTTTAACTAGAAAATTGACTACCCCATTAAACAGTCTTCAGCAATAAAAATATGTATGTAAATATAAATGTTGAGAAGCCCTGTAACTATTAGGCCCAGCTTAAAAAAATTAATCCTTATTGAGTTATTAAAATATTAATACCTATTTGTTAAAATTACAAATTATAAATTTTAATACTATTAAACATACACAACACATACTTATTGGAAATAGAAAATACAGCTTTAATGACTGGGAGTGTCTCCCTAAGTAGTTAATGTATTCATGGATAAACATTATTTGTTGTTGAAAGAGACAGAATTTGTCAACAGTTCTACCCTAGTTTTTTGGTTTTTATAGATGGACGCTCTCAAGAGTGTTACTCACATAAGATAGATGGGAAAGGAGAGAGTTTTGTTTTAACAATGTCATTTAAATCTTAAAACTCTTTCCGAGTTATGTGACAAAATTCATAGAATGATATATTATTAAGGATTACTTTTATGGTCTATCATTAAATAATCATTTTAACAATCTATCACTGAAACTTATTTTTAATGCTCTATCAATTGACAGCGTGATTAGAACCTCCTTCCATTTATTGAAAGCAATGAATTGGAAACCACCTGCCCTCAGAATGATGTGATACCTAGGCATTCACTTTCCAGCATCACATCAGTAGTTTGAATTGTCTCCTTATTTGGCTCTCAAGAGATTTTGTGCCCTGGAGTAAAACACCCTAGTGAGATTCTATCTAGGGGAAGAAGAGCGAGCAAAACGGGAGATAAGAAAGGAAAACTCACAGGAGAGTTCTCAGGCAAATCTGTTTCAAGCAAGAGAACGCATGAAAGTTGCGGAACCAGAAATTGATTCCCTTAAAACCATCTGTGCCTGTGTATCGCTTGGGAAATCTTATACCGACCCCCACCTCCCAAGGGTATACATGCTCCAGTTTGTAGACTGCTTATCTAGACAAATATACCTAATTTTCATCAAATAAAAATACTTTCAGTACGGAATCTCGTGAGGTTTACTAGAGAAGACAATGAGATAAAGAAAAGGCAGTTGTAGGGTAGGTTATATAGACTAAATGGATGGATGGACGGATGGATTAGGGGTTGCAGTGTTAAATTATGAGTAATTATAAGTAATCACTTATTTGGAAAATAGTTCATCTGAATGCTGAAGGGGCATCAGCCTTTACCCATGATGAGTTTGTAGTCATTCAATTCGAAATTCTATACATGCCCAGGTCTGTCAAATTAGGTCCTCCCAGGAAATAATGCCAAAAAGACCAGTGAAAATTTATATATCATATAAGTTAAAGTCATATAAACACTAACAAAAATATGGTATTTTTATAATTTTCATGTGGAGTGAAGAACTATAGTAACCAGTATAGAAAATACCATATATCTTGTTTTAAATTGCTAGGTTTCTTGAAATTAAAAGATTTAATTGTATCACACAGGTTCACTGCAGTGAGAGGCTAATGTCTCTCCATGATACGCTATGATACACAAAAGCTTTTTCACCTGCCAGAAACTTCCCTTTGTGTGGAAGGAGGGGGAAGATGATTCCTGACTAGAGGCCTACCCTTTTTACTTCTGGTGCCACTTCCTAGGCCATTAATCTCCCCAAAGTATACGAAGCCTATTAACAAACAGTTATCTAGTAATCTTACGTGGTTAGGTTGTACAGTCAGACACTAGCAGAATTTTGCAGGATTTCACGTGAATATGTTTGCTATGTTCTGTATGCCATGAGGGCAAGGGATATTTTATCCCTCTGTATCCCAGCAGAGGACTGGAAAGTATTTTGAACACTTTTTCTCTTCCATATTAGTTTCTGAGCCTTCTATTATTGAATTGGCAGTCTTAGCTTATTACATATAATGAATATAACATAGATAAATATCTATTTAATTTTTATCAATCATGCATCTATAGTGTTTTTTTCCAATAAAAGCTGAAAGCTATGAAAGCTAATAATTAGATGAGACATTCATTTTGTTCTGACTTCTGGTATGATCAAGTTTTTTTTTTAGCAGTATAAGAACTATAATTTGTGTTGGAAAGTTGATAATGAAATAACTCCTAGATCACGAACAGCAAAGCTTTCTATTTGGTTGGCTTCATTAATGCCAGAGAAGGCACCTCCGTGAAAATTCCTTTGCTGATAATGACATGGTTGATAGTGGGTTTCTAGAGGATTATTACTCTTCGCACGCGTGTGATGTCGTGCTGTGTCCGACTTTGTGCCTGTGACAGACCCCATCTCAGGCGCGCTGCAGCAGCCTGAAAACATCCTGCCAGCCTGTCTTGTTTTGTTGTTTACAGAAGTAGCAAGAAAGTTGCAGTGTGCTGTGTTTTGACTTTTTCAATTACAAGTATCCTTAATAAATAGTCATCCCACCCCTTCCTTGCATGCAAGTGGGGCTGTGAACGGGGAAATGGGAGTTCACATCTGGTCAAATTAAAGACCTGTTAAAGTCAAACATGTACAAGATGCTCCAATATTTCAAATATATGACATTTAAATTCTAATATCTCTTCCTTGTGACAAAAAGTTAGAGGTAATAGATTGTCACAACATGAATCCATTCTCATGACAATAGATGTAATGAGATTGTCAGAAACACAAACCTAACTGTGATACAGTCTGGAGATTCTAATCTAGTTTGGTCCTGCCCAAGAGCTAGATAGCATGTTCTGAGAATTGTACACCACGTATTTTAAAATTGTAGTGTGTTATTGTTTCTTTCCTCTAGGCAGAATCTCTTACCGAGCTGTTGAAGTTGGCTGCCCTCATTCTTCCAACAATCGGATTCTGCTTTCCTGTGGCTTTTCAAATATTATTATATTTAAAATTAAAGATCAGATGTTCTTATCCTGGAATGTGTCGTCTCTCCTCCCTTGGCCCCAGCCCCCAGCATGACAAATTACGGGACTTCTTTGCGCATGTGGGTTTATAGGCTTTTTTTTTTCCCCCTCTGTTCTCATAGCCAGCAATACAGGAATGCACAGGAGGCAAATCACTGACCTCTTAGACCAAAGCATTCAAGTCCATTCCCAGTGTTTTGTCGTCACATCGGACAACCGCTACATCCTCCTCTGTGGCTTCTGGGATAAGAGTTTCCGAGTCTATTCTACAGACACAGGTAACCGCGTCATTTCTTCATCAGTGAGCTCAAGTTTACAACAAGTGGCAATAGAGGCTTGAAAGGCTTTCTCATCTCCCCTGTAAAAGTTACAGAAGTCTAAAATGTGTAAAATATAGTTTTCCCCTTCAAGTAATAATCTATTCTATAATCCATTAATAACTTAACTTCAGAATGTTTTTAAAGGGGCAGGTTTTGGTAGGTTTGTCTCCCAAGCTTCATACTTACAGGTGAATGATTTATTTTGAAAACATATCCTGGTGTGTAAATACCATATGTACATGTCCATGCATAATCATATGGCAGGTGCACATACTTATAGGTGTCCTTCCCCACTTTAGTATTGTTTAAAGGTTATTTTTTTCCCTGGAAATTTTAAGTGTGTTTCCTGCGAGTGGCTATCTTGCCTCCACCCAGTTCCACTGAATCTTGCTGAAAACTACATCATTGTGAAGGAAAGTAGCTGACTCCTTATTCATTTGCATGCAACCCCCTAAGGAACTAACCAAACTCAAATCACTATTATTATAGGATATCCAGTCCAATGAATGGTTATATATTTTTACATATAGGCAATTGTGAACATTGAAAAATTTAATGGAGTCTCTTTAAAGTATTTTAGAAACTGTTAGAGAATGACATAAACTTATACTGAATATGTAGTTGTATATTTAAAATAATTAAAATTAGATAGTAATGCATTAGAACTTAAATACCATGGAGGTAGATAGTTAACTGAAACAAGGATCTACAAATAATTATATTGATTAAATATTCTGGGGATAGGAAATTTTTTAAATTGACGTTTCTAATTAATTAACTATTTTACAGCAAATCCTCTTTCAGTCATGTTAGTAATCTCTATACAATGTATGAGTCCATACTCCTACCTTAGTAAGTGTAGTAAATTAAAAAATTAAGTCCTGGGTATTCAGAGAGTTTGTCCTAGCTACATTTTGATGACTGTATTATAACCTAGCAATGACAGAGTAGGGAAAAATAGTTGAATATGTACTGTGTTTAGAATAAACCCTAGAAGTTGTTTTTAGACATGATCTCATTTAATTTTTGTTTTAGGGAATCAATGACCTAATATTTTTATAATTTACTTCTTTATTCTGGAGGTAGGTTCAGAAAGAAAATATCATTCAAGTCTTTCTGATTACTTGGGCTTTTACTATGACGTTGATTACTGTTGAACCTAAAACTCCTCTGAAATTCTTTAAAAATGCATTGGAGATTGACAAGTTTTCTTAAAATTATTTTTTATTATAGTAAATTTTCTCTGGCTTAATATTCAAGTTTAAATTTTAACCTTTTCTTTCACTATTATGGTAATGACAGCCCTAGTGTTATTTGACCTCCAACTATGCTCCCTTCTTCACAAACTTTCAGATTAAAATTGTTACATCCTATCACAAGGTTTTCTTAAACATTCTTTTAGATTCAGATTGTTTTTTATACATTGAAAATTATCTTTCAATATACGTACAGTAAAATTCCTTATTTTGGTTTTTAGTTCCATTAGTCTCAGGGCATTGTATCCCATTATATAACCACCCTCATAGTTAAGATGCAGAGTAGCAGAAAATCTCCAGAAACCCCCTGGGTTGCCCCTTCATAGTCACTTTCTTCCCTCACCTCAGCCTCTTCAGAATTGCTGATATGCTCTTCATCTCTGCCTTTTCCGGAATGTCCTAAAATGGGATCATATATTATGTCAGTCTTTGGTTTCGACATTTGAGCCTTTCTGAGTTTGTTGACATTTCGTATCATCTTAAAGACACTGAATATTGATATTTGTAAATTAAAGCTAGCCTCTTTAACCTTTTACTTTAACCTTTGTAAAGTAAAAGCTAACCTTTAGGCTTCCCTTATAGCTCAGTTGGTCAAGAGTCTGCCTGCAATGCAAGAGACCCAGGTTTGATTCCTGGGTCAGGAAGATCTACTGGAGAAGGAAATAGCAACCCACTCCAGTGTTCTTGCATAGAGAATTCCTGTCCTGGTAGGCTACACAGTCCATGGGGTTGCAAGAGTCGGACACGACTTAGCAACTAAACCATCACCACCAAAGCTAACTTCACTTTTATATAATACTCTTAATAAAATAATTTTTATAGTCACACAGTTCTCTTGAATTTATAAAATATCTTCATTCTCATACATGATATTGTGTCAGCCTCACGGTAATCTTAGGAGATCGAATGGTTGTCCTTAGGCCTGTTTTTTCGATGATGAAACAAAGGTTTGAAAAAGTTAAGTATCTTGTTGAAATTCGCATACGTAATGGTGCTAGACCTGGGCATTGGAGGTCTTCTGATCTCAGATGTGGCATCTTTGTGATTATTCCTTTTTATCTCATACAAGTGTTACCCATTTAAAATCTAGGTTCCTAGAATGTCTGGCATGTTACTTTAGACTTAATAAACTAGATGGCATTCCTTCCTCTCTTCCCAAAAACCTTCTACTTTATTGTTTTTTAAAATGTGCACAAGTGTGTGTACGTATAAAACACTTTCATAAGAAAGTAGTCTCATTTTAAACTTCATTTCAGTGGGACTGAGCACATATACCAAAAATATTTATACTTTCCAGTAAAGTTTTGAAAAAAATCTCATATGATCATTCTAATACCTTTCTTACTATCTTGAATACAAACTCTGATGCAAATTTTATTTAAAATTATTCAAATTTTAAATGTGTTAGTGTCTTCATCATGATAAGAATATTAAATGTTTTCTCCTAAGTTTAGCAGAGAAGTTTAACAAAAAAATTGTATGATCAATAATATATAATGGCAGAGCTATCACAAGTGTTGAATTCAATTATATTTTGGCACGTAAGCCAAAAAAAAAAAAATCCTTCTCTTATTAGATTTGGTGGGGTGGGGAGGCGGGGGTAGAGAGAAACACGGTTGTAGCAGGAAATTCTTTAAACATAAATCATGTTTTCAAGACACAACCAGAGCAGCAGAGGCAACAATAAAACCTTCCCTCGGCAGTGGGAATTATTTTCAGGCCACATTTTAGATTCAGTGGTGCAGAGTCCTGAGCTTGAATTTTTTTTTTTTTTATTTGTGGCACAGCTGTCAAATAAAACATTAACTGGAAAATTTGTTCTGTCAAAAAAAGGATATTCTAGTGCTTGTGGTAATATTTGATATTAGTGTGTGGAGAGGTGGACTGGTATTAAAGGAAACAAAAAATAAAGCTTGAGGAACACTTATGAGATTATCAGAAAATAATTTACCAAAAAGAACAGCAGGTATTTATATGGTGTGATTTATTTAGGAGGAGTGAACCTCCACCTCATAGCAATAACAAATATTGCTGGGGAACGCTGCCAGACAGGAAAAAGCAAACTGGAAAAAAAAAAATAATAATAATGTTTTCCAGAGTTGAGCCCAGAGTATAAATTGTGGAGAATGAAGTTAATTTGTATTAAAACATGAAACTCTTTAGATGTAGACGCTTACCCGTCACCCCCTCGTCTCAGTCTTCCCTGATGCCCAGCCTGATTTGTTCTCTCCTGTTTTCCCACTGCCCCCTCTCTCCTCTCTCCTCGTGGTTGACACTAGTCGCAGTTTCACGTCTGTTTTTGTTTGTTTCTCTGTCTACCACTATATACAAGTAAGAAGATCTAATGCTCGGCACTTGGTAGGTGCTCAGTAAATGTTGGTTGAATGAAAAATATTTGTGATGACTTTTAGGGGCAAAAATTAAAACACTGGGAAATTTTAATTAAAAAAGAAACCACAGTCCGAATATACATTTTCCTAACACAGACATTGTAGACATAGAATGATGACTTCATTAATGAGAAGTAACAAATTATTATGTGTCGTGAGAAATTCTGACAGTCTTTTTCATCCATCCCACTTTTACAGCTAAAAGTTTCCACTTTGTTCTCACTAGCTGGAAACTAAGCAGGTTACCAAGCAGATAGTTGCTCTTTCGCAGGCCTCCTGGTGTACGTGCTGGAGCATTTGCGTTTTCTGTTTATGCCACAGACCTCACATACCCAGATGTATTACTTTGCTCATCTTCACTTCTACAGCCCACTGAATTGATGGTTGTCAAATCTTAAATAAGTCTACTCTAAATAACCTATTTACATCACTTGTATAGTTGACATGCTCTCAGCATTTGGTATAGGCTGAGGCAGAAGTCACTGTACATGCTCGTGATCGAAAACATAATCACATTACGGGGTGGTCAGTATCTTCAGTAGTTAAAACTCATGATTTAGCTTTCACTTTTCTAATTAGTACTTCTTCCCTGACGGCTCAGATGGTAAAGAGTCTGCCTGGAATGCAGAAGACAGAGGTTTGATCCCTGGGTCGGGAAGATTCTTGTCTGGAGAATCCCGTGCACAGGTTAGCCCTGTGGGCTACAGTCCATGGGGTTACAGAATCTGACACGTCCGAGCGACTGTCACTTTCTAATTTGAAGGAAGAGTGCATTCAGCTACCTCCTGTCTCATCCTTAGTTAGGTCTTCCCTCTAACCTAACTCCAGCCATTTTACCACTAACCCTCTCTACTTTGTCCTTCATATAAATTGGAAATGATAAAAAATTATTATATTTTTAATATTAAATTTTCTTTTTCTTTTCCATTTTTTAATTCTAGAAAGTCTTGAGTTCTTATATTCTTTATTGATAAAGTTAATTTTTAAAATGAAATGTTCTGGTGTTAATTTAAAAGGTTGGAAAAATTCAGAAGTGAACATTTTTAACATTTTATTAGTTAAAATACCTGCTTTGGCTAAAGTCTTTTTCCATAGGAGACAGAAGTGTACTTTATCAATTTTGCAGTTTGAGATTGATATGAATCTGGTCTTAAGTTAGTATCAGAAGAACACTATGTACAAGGGAAAACACTGTAATTGACTTTCCATCTGATGTGGATGAGGCAGTATTTTATTTCTAAATTTGCAGACTTTATAATATGCTTTGGGCTTATTTAAATCGATAATATAAAAAATTTAGTGGAAATACTTTGTTATATTTATTATCTTGAAAAATTAAATACATGTAGATACCAATACTTAGTTGAGACCTCAAGCTTTTGATAGGCTATGATCTGTTCCAAGTTAAACATATAAACTTTTTAGGCATACTAATTTTTTTCCAGCTTAATAGTTTTTATCTTGAATTGTATTTTTTATGACCCCACCGAAATGCTTATTTGAAAAAGGAAAAGCATTCATGCTGAGTATTAAAGGTAGACATCCTATGACATTAATTTGTAGATTCTGCAGACATTTCAGAGAGAAATGTTAGCTAGAAGCTGGTCGGGGTAGAGTAGAAGAGCTGCTATAGCTGTTTAATTCTTTAGACAATTTGTATGAATTACAAACACCGTATCTGATTAAAGGAAAAATCCAAAAGGTGGGGCCTTTACTTTTTTTCTGACGCTGTTATGTGAGCAGTTCATCCTATGCTTGACATCCCAGATATATGGTACGTTTACTGGGCCCCCCTCCCCAGTCATTACTGGTAAACTGTCATCTTAATTTCCCTTCTCCTCAGGAGTTTTCCTCATTCAGACAATTAAAGAAAGAATCACTAGCTCAAATTGCAGTCACAATATATTAGTCCTTTTATCAAAATTTAGCTCATGTAATCCTGATTTGAAAAACAGAAACTCTGGGATGTGGTTTTATACTGTCTTTGTGTAGATCACTTCAGAGAAGAGAAAAAGAAATAAATTGCCTTTCCTGCTTCAGAGATAGGTTTGCATTAGTGAGGTCTGAGTGAGAGAGTGCTTACAGAAAGGCAACTAAGTTTTGCTTTGTTTTGAATCATTTCGAGTAACTTAATAAATTACTGAAATGGTTCCAAATAAGGGTTCTCCTGAGTCTGCTTTAATCAGTAGACATAATTCATTTGTAATTCCTAGGAGCTATGTATAAATAATATTATTAGTTGAAATAGTTTTAACATATGTCTTTCAAAAATGTTACTATCACTGTTCAATTGATTCTTTTTTTTGTTGTTAATTATTCAAAGAAAACTTTCAGGTTGAACCAGATTGAATTTTATTATAAAATCTGAATTATCAGAATATGAGTTAATACAACTTCATTATCTTCTTACAAGTTAAACAATCACTGGAAATTTTTTCAGTTTTTAAAATAGCAAACAAAACTTGTTTTGTATTTCAGGAAAATTGATCCAAGTGGTGTTTGGCCATTGGGATGTCGTCACTTGCCTCACTCGTTCGGAGTCGTATATCGGGGGAAATTGCTACATTCTGTCAGGGTCACGTGACGCAACCCTTCTGCTCTGGTACTGGAATGGAAAAAGCAGTGGTATTGGAGATAACCCGGGCAGTAAGTACAATTTATGACTAAACTTTTACAAGTGATGTATAATAACATTTTGTAGTGAAACCATTTCATCATGGTGAAAGTGAAACTGAAGTATCAAGTAATTTTAACTTCTTAGTTATAATTTAAGAAAGCTCTAGATAACCTTGTTATTAACACTTGGTGACCAATGGTAATTCAAATTCAAGGATGAAATCTCATTTTCATGTGTTTGGTTATTATCTGAAAATGCTAATTCTTCACTGGAAATGGCTGTCATCACAAACAATAAGATATAATGTAAAAGAGCAGTCACATATTGTTTATTGAATTCCTATTTTAAAGAGCAAAAAAATCATAATTTCATGGAAACAAACCAGTCTTTAGAAAAAATATGCTTTCATTTACATATTAAAAGATAAAACAGGTCATAAAAGGCCAATATGGAATATTCAAATTGGCTGTTGGTTTTTCAAATGGGAAATGAAAATGTTCACCAACAGCCTTAAACATCTTTATGAAACTATGCTGAAGGCAGTAAAACAAAAAATGTGTAACCATTTAAAATTGTAATTCACAGAAGGCAAAAAAGGAAGCAGCTACCATTAAAACCAATCGCACACAGCTGCAGAAAAGAAATGGCTTTAGAAAAACACATTAAGAAGTAGGAAAAAACAATTAAAGGGACCACCTGAAAAATGAGAATTTAATTAAAATGATTATGACAGCACTGAAGAGATCCTGCAAGAATAACATTATATTTTTTATTTCATAGGTAGAGCATTTTAACTGCTCTTAAATATTTACAGTTTCTTAATTTAAAGCAAGTTGCAATTTATTTGGCTAAGGAAGGATCACATTGTTGCTGATTACCTGAATACTAATGGTACTTACTTCTGTCACGCAGTCCCAAATTATAAAACAGCCTGATTATGTTTAAGTCCATCGTATTTTGAATTGACTTATTAAAGCTGTGCTTATTAAATGTATATTATTTGTGTGAAAGTGAAACCTTTTAAAAAAATTTACCCAGGAGCCAAGTACAGTTTTAAAAGAAGTATATGCATAGTATTTTTACCAACACTGTTTCTGCTTTGTATGTATTATGTTTGGTGTGATGGTGAATCAAAGTTTTTATTTTATGAACCTCTAATATGTATTTCTTATTTTAATCAAAACATGGATAATTCTCTACACAAATTAAACGTGAAAAGTAACTTTAAGGCTTTGATGTTCTGGGTAATAGTAGTCAGAGCAGACCTTAGTGTGTGTGCTTATATACGGAGGTTAGTGTGTACATGTGTGTATTTCACATATTTACACATCTCTGTTTTATATGTAATTAAAGTAATAATTTTAAATTTGTAAACTTCAGGGAATTTTGTTTTTCACATTCTTTTGAGAAGTACTTCATATTCTTTCCTTTATGGAGCCTTATATTCTGTTCATCCTCCTTTCTTGCCTTTTAAGATGAGCAACTACTTTCAATTTCCTTTTCCCTGTTTCTGTAAACTCAGTTGAGATTCACTAAACTGTCTCAGACAAACTTAGATTTGACATAGACAATAAGCATACCATTTTGTTATTTATGTGAAAATATTTAGGAAGAACTTAGCTTTAAAATAGTGTGAGATGTTTCATGCACACATAGCAATCCAAATGAAAAAAAATTTTGTTCTTTTTTTTTTAACTTCCTTGACCTAACCATGTTCTCTCTGTCATTACTAATGGGTATTTTGAAAAGTAGCTAAAGGCTTTCTAGCTGCACTTAATGTGTAATTGTTGTTACATTTCAGAAATTTAAGTGTATTTTAAAACAAGTGTAATTTAGAAATATTCAGCTTTTCTAGAAGGGATAAATATATATATTTAAATACCTTGTAAATCAACCTAAAAATGATTTTTTATGTGCATGACATTATAGAAATGAATCGAGTAGGACTGACCCAGTCCTGGAGTTTAGAGTTAGACAAAGCTAAGTTCTACGCTTTGCTGTGCTGTCTTGTCTGTGAAATGAAAGCAACGCTAGTAACTGACTTAAGGTGCTATCAGAAGCACAGAATGCTCAGAGCAGATAAATCACCCCACGAACACCATCTTGCTGGTATTAGAGTATATATTATAATGTTATATTTTTCATAAAGCACTTCATCTGTACCCTCTCGTCTGCAGTATGGTGGACATTTAACTCCTAGTAATGCTGGTAATGAAAGGAAAAAAAAAATAAAAGAATAACTTAACAGCACATCTAATAAAAATTTTAGAAAATTGTAATGACTCTTGATAAATTAAATTAAATTACATTTCTCACAGTGAACCTCATCCTTTTGGGTCCTTTTGTAATGTCTGATGTCCCAATTGAATTTTGCTTTAACTTTGAAGAATGAATCTGGGAAAAAGACAAATAGGCACTTTTTCATATAATGAGAATTTCCACACATTAGAATGGAAAAATGAATAAACCAGTGTAAGCTTTTCAAATGAAAATGACAAACAAAAAACAAAGACATTTGTACTGCGTGTGAACGGTTTTAAGCATTCATGCAAGCTGGTTCAGAATTTTTAAGCCTGTGGCTCATTGATGGCTCCACAATGCAGCCGCTGAAGTCAGAGATTTTCAGATGAAGAATTTTAGATTATGCTTACTTCTGTGTTGTATCTCTTGGATGAAATGTAATTGATGTTTAAGAAATAGCCAGGCTTTTATATACAAAACTCCAACATGGCCTGTAAATACATACAGGGCCTCAACTTAAAGTTTTGAATTTAGACTTTTCTCTTGCTTGGAAAGAAAATGGGTAATTAAAAAAAAAAAAAACTAGACTATTGCCTTTCCTGCATTTTATAGGTCTCATCCAACCATATAACTTATTTATTTCAAAAATCATAAGAATAAGCTAGTAGTTTTACTTGCTAGTGTCATAAGCCTATGGCATTACCTACAAATCTAATGTTAGTGCTGTATGTAAAGTTTATAGCTTTATTACTTTTTTTTTTTTTAATCTTGTTATCCAGTGTTAATAAGCACGTTGCTCAGGCAAAATCATGCTAATTCAAACTGGATAAAACCTATATATAGTATAGCATGAGGCTTTTAAAAGGATGCACATGTTTCATGAAATCTGACTAGGTTATACAGCAAAAGCCTTGTTTTCCTGTATGACAGATAGTTTTTCTTTTTTTTTTTTTTTTTAGTTTTTCATTTTTGACTCTATTGTCTTGTGATAGTTATCTCCTGTGGAATGCAGTTTTCTTAATGAGAAGAAAAATTAAGATAGGATTCCATTTAGTTGTGGATTTTTTAAATAAAATTAACCAAGAACATTTCAAAGAAAGACGTTTTCTGCATGAAAGCATATCTCTCTCTGCCCTCGTACCCTTTGTGTTTAAAACTGGATTTTGTCCACCAAAATGCTTTCCTGGAATACTCATTTTTCCTTCACAATAATGCTATCCAGACTGTACATTTCCAAATTTTGAAGCAAACGTGCCCTGATGCATTCAATTGACATTTAAATACTTTAAACTTTAAAATGATCTTGTGATCAAAATGAAAATTCACAGAAGAGTTATTCACTGTTTTTGTATTGTATTAGATCATAAACTTAAAATCAAATCCTCATTAAGCATCTAAACATGAGTGCTTATTAAGCATTTTTAGGTATCTGAGTAATTTTTTTTTTAAGTCACCGTTGAATAGCTTTAGAAACAAGCAGTCTCTGACTATGAGGTGTTGCATAGACGGTGTGCATAGTATTTCAGTAAAGTAGTTTTCCATTCTCACATTCTGTTTTTGATTTGATTGAAAGGTGGCATTTTTTTCTTCTTTGCAATCAGACATGCTAATCTATATCAGCTTTCTCCTTTATAGGAATGGCGTCTGCTGGGGAAAAAACAAAGTTTTTTTCATAACAAGATTCTGTTAAGAATATTTCAGCACCATTAATTAGAAAGAAGGTTTTATTAAGCATAAGGCTAGCGCTAACAGACCACAGAGCTGTTTTTTAAAGTACTGTATGCTGTGGCTGCCCTGCTTTTCTCTGTCTAAAACTTCATTTTGTTCCACTCTCATCAATCACTTAAGTCATTACCGTAAATCCTACTGTTGTTAATTTTACTAGTATCACCCTAATGAGACATCCCTGCTATAATTAAAAATGAATTCTAACTTTAAGGCATTCTAAATTTTTTTTTAATGAATTTAGAATGATCTTGCCATGTAACCATAAATACCACTGATATACGTAGACTACTCATCAAGTCTTTAAGAAAAGTGGTATCACAATATGTCCAGGTGTGACTTATTTACTGGTTGTCTCTGTGTGCATGTGCTTATGCATATGTATATTTTTGCACACATATTTAGGAATTATGTTCTTTTTATAATAAAGCCTACTATGCTTTACCGAAGCTACCGATAAATCCTTATTCTTTGTCTTGCCAGAGTATAGGTGGATGTGACACAAGAAGTCGGTGTCCTAGAGCGCCATCTGCTGGGCACATTGGGGGACTTGCTAGCGCTGAAAACCAGTGCCTGTTAAAACAGGTGTACTGGTGTAGTGTTTATGGTTCACAAATGTCAAGATATGTACATCTGGGTTGAACTGTATGAGTTTGTAAAAGAAATAACATTCTTTCTTCTTTCGCCCTGCACTAACCTGGATTTGGACTGTTTTCATCAATATTTTGTTTAAGGAAAAAATAAGCACGATACAAACCTAATGAAGCAAAGCCTGACAGTCTGTGATGAGAAGGACTCTTGTCTTATTAATCACAGGTCTTCAGTAAGCTGCAGTTGGAGGAAACCGTCTCCTCCAAGCTGGATGATATTTTCACTGTAGTTTCCTTCTGTTCACCACTACTGTGAAAGCAGAGTTTGAAATGGCTTTTTTTAATATCTGGGATATGACTCAACCTGATTCTTTGATTAGAACATGACTTCTTCCATACATATCTCATCAAGAACATTCCTTGTGGTTTGCGCTATTGCACTAACACTAAGATTGCCCTGTATTTTCCCTTTTTCCTTGAAGAATTCATCAAACGTGGTTTGGAGCAATATGTTGGCAGTGTTCAAGTTCAGGTGACATTAAAACTATGTCTATGAAATTCTCCAGAAGGGCCAGGATGTTTGGTGCCCCATGATGTAATGCAGGCCCTCCCATTCCAGCAAAACAACTCTGTATTTACTGCTTGTAACTAATAGTAGATGTGGTAAAAGGAATTATATTCATATGGCAAATGAATACAGCTTAATGTGCACCATATGCAGAGTGGTGGGGTGATGTGCCAATATATCACATTTATTTACCTTGTTTAGTTGTAGAAAAAAATGACTATACCATTCAACCCATAGGTTCTTGCCATATAAATATGAAAACAGAAGAACAGATGATTTATGCCCTCAAATTGGGACTGGGTATCTTCATATGAACACTTTAATAGTGCAACACCAAAGAAAATTGTCTAATACTTTATGCTCAGATAGGAAATTTAATTTCAAACAATGGCGAGAATTACCGTTAGTTAGAAGCTACAAATTCTCTATAGTCAATGAAGTGTAGGCTCTCAAAGAAAACTGTAAATGTGTCTTCTTTCATTTAACTGAGGCTGAATGTACTCTGAAATTTCAAGCTACTTCGTCCCCTCTCTTCCTTTTTTAAGCCTAAAATCAGGAGTCTTCTGCTTTTAGAATGTTGTACGGGGGATGTATATTATTGTAGAACTATTAAGGATATGGTTAATGAAGACCTCCTGGAACAACATATTAGATTGACTTTCAAAGAGTTTTCTTTAGAGAAGTTATATGACATCTTTGTACATAAGTACCTTACATTGTGCTTCAGACAGTCCTGGGAATTCATGAACAGAGACCCATTTTTATATGAAATTAGGTAGTATATGTCCCTGATGATTTCTTTTGCAGTTGCCCTGTTTTTAAAAGTAATTTTTTTCACATTCAAATGGGTTTGGTCAAACTTTGTATTTTGGATTTGGTTTTTGTTTTGTTGCTTTTATTTATTATTAAATTTATTTATTTTTAATTGAAGGATAATTGCTTTACAATATGATATTAGTTCCTGCCATACATCAACATGAATCAGCCATAGATATATATACGTCCCCTCCGTCTTGAACCTCGCTCCTACCGCCCACCCCTTCCCACTCCCTCTGGATTGTTACAGAACCCTGGTTTGAGCTCCCTGAGTCACAGAGCAAATTAGACAGGGAAAAAATCCTTAGAATTCTTTCTGCCTCTCATGGCTCAGGTCTTCATGACTCTTGAGCTATTTAGCTTTTATTCTCACAGCTTATAACTTTCTACAGCTGAGAGAATGCTTTATATTTCCTTAGGGTGAGCAGGGTCAGGAAGTTTCTTTTTTTTTTTAATTGAGTTATAGTTGGCATCTAACATTATATGGGTTTCAGATGTACAACATCATGATTTGGCATGTGTATAATTGCAAAGGATCACCACAGTGTCTAAATAACATCCATTACCACACAGTCACACTGGTTTTTTTTCCGACATGAGAACTTTTAAGATCTACTCTCAGCAGCTTTCAAATCTATGATACAGCATTATTAGATAAGCTTCCCAGGTGGCTCGGTGGAAAGAAGGCGCCTGCCAATGCAGGAGTCAGAGGAGACGTGAGTTCCATCCCTGGGTTGGGACGATCCCCTGGAGGAGGAAATGGCCATCTATTCTAGAATTCTTGCTTGAAAAGTCCCACAGACACAGGAGCCTAGCAGGCTACAGTCCCTCGGGTCAAAAAGAGTTGGACACAACTGAGTGACTGAGCATGATTATTGACTATAGTCACCATACTCCACGTTAAATTCCCAAGACGTACTCACTTTATAAGTGAGTTTGTACGTTTAGACCACTGTTGCCCATTTTGCCCACTCTCCACCTTTGGCAACCACCTCTGGCAGTCTATTCTCTGTATCTTTGAAGTTAGTGTTTTTGTTTTTTTTTTTTAATTCTACACATGAATGAGATCATAAAATATTTGTCTTTGTCTGACTTACTTTACTTATCACAATGCCCTTACAGTCTATCCATATTGCCACAAGTGGCAGGCTTTACTTATTTTTTATGACTGATGTTCCAGCGTGTGTGTGTGTGTAGCATTTCGTCTATCCATTCATCCACCAGTGGTTGCTTAGGCTGTTTCCATGTCTTGGCCATTGTGAATAATGTTGCAGTAAACATGGGGTGCAAATATCTTCTCGAATTAGTTTTCATTTACACCTAGAAGTGAACTTGCTGGATCACATGGTAGTTATAGTTTTAACTTTTTGAGGAACCTGCATACTGTGTTCTATAGTGTTTGCACCAATTTACATTCCTACCAGCGGTGCACCAGGATTCCCCTTGCTTCACTTTCTTATCAAAACTTGTTATTTCTTGTCCTTTTCATAAAGCTAGTCTAGCAGATGTGAGGGTATCTCATTGTGGTTTGCATTTCCCTGGTGATAAGTGGTGTTGGGTTACCTTTTTCTGTACTTCTTAGCCATCTGTATGTATTCTTTGTAAAAAAAAGAAAATATCTATTCAGATCCTCTGTCCGTTTTTAAGTTAGATTGTTCTCTGGATATTGGGTTATGTGAATTCTTTACATGTTTTGGATATTAACCCTTTTTCAGGTATTATGATCTGTAAATATTTTCCCCCATTCAATCTGTTGCCTTTTCATTTGGTTGATGGTTTCCTTTGCTGTCCAAAGGTTTTTAGCTTGATGTAATCTCACTTGTTTATTTTTTGCTTTTGTTGTCTTTGCTTTTGGTGTCAAATCCAGGTGTTTCAAATTGCTAAAGATGTGAAAATCCTCTATACTTTTCACTAATGCCTTAGTTATGTATCTTTAACAAATATTAAAAATGTTAAGGAGGATAAATTACAAAAAATTTTATGTGACTTGGATATTTAGGATCGATAGATAAAAGTAGTTATCCTTTTTCATTTTCGTATTTATAAGAATCGTAATATTAAACATCAACAAATATGGATAAGATTTCAACAACTTTTCTAAGTATCAACATTCTTTTTGGAGGCAGAGTTTTATAATGTTGATGTTTCCAGACACACATGTGTAACTACAGAAGCTATCAAAGAATTAGAGCCAAAGATAAGCCTGTCTGTGGGGAATTAGCAAGTGAAAAGTCTCAAAAAACTAGGATAAAAGAAGTACATAAGTAAAGTTTGATATGTCCACACGATGGAAGACCGTATGGCCATTAATGTATTATGAATTGTGATATTGACATGAAAGGATACGCTCTCTGAATTGGTAAGTGTGAGAGACCACCAAACTACGGGTATAAGAAGATATATTTTAAGTATCTGTGTCGGTAAGTGTATGCTTTGTATACTGTGTACTGCTGCATGTAACTCTTCACGATGCCGTGGACTGCAGCATGCCAGGCTTCCCTGTCCTTCACTATCTCCCAGAGTCTGATCAAACTCATATCCATTGAGTCAGCGATGTCATCCAACCATCTCATCCTCTGTCGCCCACTTCTCCTCCTGCCCTCAACCTTTCCCAGCATCGGGATCTTTTCCATTGAGTCGGCCCTTCGCATCAAGTGACCAGAGTATTGGAGCGTCAGCTTCAGCATCAGTCCTTGCAATGAATATTCAGGACTGATCGGTTTGATCCCTTTGCTGTCCAAGGGTCTCTCAAGAGTCTTCTCCAGCACCACAGTTCAAAAGCATCAATTCTTCGGCAGTCAGTCTTCTTTATGGTCCAACTCTCACATCCATACATGCCCACTGAAAAAACCATAGCCTTGACTGTATGGACCTTTGTTGTCAAAGTGATGTCTCTGCTTTTTAATATGCTGTCTAGGTTAGAAAAATATTTGAAATAATAACTGGTAAATGTAAGCAATGGTCATCTTAGGTAGTGGAACTTAGAGGCATTTTTAATTTTCTTCTTCATAATTTACTAAATTATATGAATGCTTTATAATGAGCATATATTGTTTTGATAATCAGAGACAATAAATATATTTTATTAGGTAGGAAAATACCTAGTTATTGTAATGTACCTTCCCTTCCTGCTCTCAGCTCTGTGCTCTGGCTATATCAGAATTAAATGGATTGTCAGAGAAGGTTGGAAAATCTAAGAAAAAGAGGAATGGGAGAAATCATAGTCTACTTTCTGGAAATGAAGGTATATTCTCCTCCCTGGCAGGAAAAATAGTAATAAGAACTATTTTGAATTGATATTTATGTGTCACAGGATCAGATATACTTCGGCTACAAAAAAATGTGTGCAACAGAGGGTGAAAATATGCATCATTCCGCTGCTAGCTGGCGTTTATTGAGTGCTCCCTACATGCGAGGCACAGCTTCAGAACGTTACACAGTAGCTCATCAATCCTCATGGTAGTCCTGGTGTTTTGTCTGTGTGTGTGCAGTCGTGTTGGACTCTTTGCAACCTCACAGTCTGTAGCCCACCAGGCTCCTCTGTCCATGAGATTCTCCAGGTAAGAACACCGGAGTGGGGATTCCTTCTCCAGAGGATCTTCCCAACTCAGGGATCGAATCCACGTCTCTTGCATCTCCTTCATTGGCAGGCGTATTCTTTACCACAGAGCCACCTGGGCAGCCCAGTCCTGTTATTATCCTTGTTTTATAGATGAGGCACAGAGAGAATATCAGTATGCCTCTACTTTCTAGATCTTTCTAGAACTGTGAGAACTTACTAGATTGAGGGCAGGAGGAGATTGTTTACATTTACTAGTTATCATTCCAGACTTTTTTCTATGCCTAGACAACGTATTAAAAAGCAGAGACATCACTTTGACAACAAAGGTCCATATAGTCAAAGCTGTGGTTTTTCCAATAGTCATGTACAGATGTGAGAGTTGGGCCATGAAGAAGGCTGAGCACCGAAGAACTGATGCTTTCGAATTGGGGTGCTAGAGAAGACTCTTGAGAGTCCCTTGGACAGCAAAGAGATCAAACTAGTCAATCCAAAAGGAAATCAACCCTGACTATTCATTGGAAGGACTGATGCTGAAGTTGAAGCTCCAATACTTTGGCCACCTGATGCAAAGAACTGACTCCTTAGAAAAGACCCTGATGCTGGGAAAGGTTGAGGGCAGGAGGAGAAGGGAACAACAGAGGATTAGATGGTTGGATAGCATTGCCGACTCAGTGGACATGAATTTAACTGCTCATAGTTTTCATAGTTCTAGTAAGACCTATGAACTTCAAAACCCAAGGGAAGGGAAGCATAGCTAGCAAACTAGAGCCTGGATTCAAACCTAGGCACTCTAGGCCAGAGGCACCATTCTTACCCACTAAACTGGATAGCATTTTAAATTTCATTTCATTGGATCATCAACTGTGGAAAATTTGATGCAACTTTGTCACTAAAGCACTCTTAGTATTTGCAGAAGATAATTTTATTACCTCTAGCAAGCTCTAGTTAGTATTGAGTTCTTACGAAAGTATGCCATGATAAGATTTTGTAAATTTTTAAATACAATTACACGTTAGGAATATACTTTATGTATATACAATTGTAGGTATATACTTACACAAGTGCACTTTTTAATGTAGTCTTAGAAGATGATTCTGTTGTCATCAACTTTTGTTTATATAAGTTCATATAAACATATATATATATATAGTATATATCGTAGAAAGGAGAAAGGTTATAAATCAAGAACTTAGTATTATTGAGTTTTAAACCAACATTATACTGTCTTACATTAATAATTCTAATAACATTTACAAGAGGAAGCTACCAAATTTTATTGTTGGTTGTCATATTCTAAATGCAGCCATAATTTGTTTTCTGTAATGTATATGTTCAACAAAATCAACATGTTTTCACAATGGAAAAAATCCTTAATGAAATGAAAAGAGAAGGAAAGGTTGGTAGAGATGGTATATATAGACCAAGTCTTAAATAATTTCTTTGTATAATTAAAATGTAGTGTTATCATTGTAGTTGAAAAATTAGAAAGTTAATGGAAAGATTTAAGAAACATTTAACAACTAACCTCATTTCTGCTTCACAAAAACCATTTCCTCTCCTGATTTACCATTATGGTGAGCCACATGAGAAACCTTAGTCTTCAGTTTTCATATGAATTTTTTTGTTGATGAATGCTTTATAGTAATCAAATGTAATTAAAATGGAATAAAAGATGTGCAAAACAGAAGTATCCAGCTTTAGGAAATGGTGAGTATAAATAATACTTAGATTTTCTTAAATCTATATGTATATGTAATAATTATATATTTACGTCCTTAAACAAATTTACACTTTCTTTCAAAATGAATACTCTATTGAAGTGTATTGTTTTTTAAAGCCAGGTTTTGTATTTTGTTTTATGTCCCTTAAGAGGTCAAATGGGTATTAGATTTTGCTAACCTGGCAAATCATATTGGTTGTTTTTATATAAAAACCTTATTAGTTGATGGTAAATATTTATTTTGTATAAAAGTTAAGTTATAATAAATAGTTTGGACTTCAGTGCAGCTTTTTGATCTTTCCAATAATAGATATTCATAATTAGCAGGCTTATAGTAGGGTCAACAAAACCTTATCCAGTGACCATTTAAAATCAAATCATTTACAAATACAAGGTCATATTTTCGTGCCTTTCTTGTTTCCACAGCACATAATACATACTTGGTAAATGTTATGTTAAAGTGAAGGAATTAAAGGAATGAATGAATAAACAAATGGGAAATGTTAACGTCTGTCCAAGGAGTAGTTAAACTTAAGTTTTAATTGAAAGAGCTAATTTTACTTCTATAAAACTAAAACTAAGGGAAATGTTGACCTGCTCCTCATTTCATGATAGATGGTATGAAAATGGTAAATGAATGAAGCGGATTCTCTCTGCCAGTAACAACGTACTTAAACTGCTAATGAGAACTTTGCAGTGCCTTTTAAAAATAATTTAATTTTCATTAAGACTGAGGAGATGATGCCCAAAGTACCAAGAACTTTATTCATTTTTAAAAACGCAAGTCAAATTTTGCCAGAAATAGGTGTCAGGGCTATTTTTACCTGGCTTATTAATTCTCTTTGCCTTAATGGATACAGATCTTTTGAAATATTTTTCTCATTGGATATTTATGAACAGGATACCAGAGAAATTACTGTTTCCTCCGTCTCTTCTTTCAGGTCTAACTTTAAGTGGTTCAGAGTCCATTTGATGAAGAAATACACTCAGTGTTATGAGAGCACGAAAGAAACACATTTAATAGCAGCATTTGTTATTCTGCCTAATGGTGTAAAACATTCCACCTAATATTTTAAAACACAGGTCCAATATAAATGCTTAATGGGTATTATGGAGATCTTGTGCTGCTTAAATGAAACTTGGGTTGTTATAATGGCGTCTGTAAGTTAGTAACTGATATTCCCTGTTATGTACTGAGAAAAGCACATCTGTAAAAACTGATGTGTCCTGGTGTTTGTGGCAGGATTTGGACTGTCTTTAATCTCCTTTGACTTGTTCATCTTCCTCTAAGGCCATCCATAAAGATGCACTGAGTGTCCTTTTCAGCCTTTGGTTAGGATTTGCATCAGTAGTCATAAACCTGCTCTCTGGACAAAGACGCCCTTTCCTTTGAAGTAATTGCTCAAGCTTTTCAAAGCAGTCCAAGAAGTCTATCCTCTTTCTCTTTTTATTTTTCTTTAAGAAGAGTTTGAAGTGTAGCCCCTTAAACTAGCGGCAAGATAAATTTTTCTCTTCAGCTTTATTGAAAGCCATGACGATTTTTCAAGCAGTAAGACTTTAAAAGGTTCTTGAGGGAATCTGTTCTGCTTTATGATCTATAGCTTTTGGTAGATCCTACTATCTCAGAAAGCAAAAGTGAAGACTTTTTGTATCCACTAACTACTGCAAATTTTTATCAAAGAATTAACCTGATGTTTTTCAGAAGACATTTTCCCCCTGCTCTATATTCAGTTTAGAGACTTTGATGAGAGATGGCCATAGCTTTGGAATGTTTGAAAAGGTAATATGTGGCCAGTGTTGTCTTATTTGAGCAGATATTCCCCTCTAGGTATTAACTCTGCGTGTTGACAGGAGGGGCAGATTTAGCTGAGTGCTGCAGTGAGAGTCTTATATGGTTCCCAGATTTCCTTTCTAGGCTTTCCAAACACATATATATAGACATGTATATGTATTGTTATCGATATGTGAATGTTATTGCTATATTGCAGGATAATGTAACCACAGAGAAATAAATAGATTCTGTGAGCCACTATGAACCCTGTGTTTCCCTTCCCCCATCATCATGTCTACCCTTCATAATTTCATTCCAAGGGGTTCCCAAAATATCTGTTGAATTTACCAGTTTGGACCTGTTGGACTTAATCTCACATTGTATAATTCTGTTTGCTACAGTAAAATTGTAATATGTAAAACATTTGGTTTATAGAAACATAAAAATCCAAGTATTTATTTTGAGCATATTTTTTAATGAGAAAATGTAAAGAATACCTGATCTTCACCCCATACAGTAAAGGGTAATACGAAGTTTAGTCTTTAAACAAGACTGGAAATAGCTTTTCTTAGAGGAAATGATCTCTCTTCTTATATTGTTGTATGTGGACTTTTAGAGGTTGTTAATGTGCGTTTCCTGAGGTGGGGGAAAGTTCAGTAGCAGGGGCTTTTTTTTTTTTTTTTAAACTGGAAAAAATCTAGTGAAATCAGTTACCTGAGTGGAACCCAATGATCATAAGTTTATCCTTATGCTTTCAATTTGTTGTTTTTTTTTTTCTTTTTCTCTCCTTTTCCTCTTTCTCCCCCCTGTATTTCCTGAGCTGTCTAATCTACTTCCTGGGTTAGGAAACATTTTGCCAAACTTTGAAGCCAGAGTCCTAGCATTGAACAGGCCTTATTTAGAGATCAAGCCCAAGGAAAAGAAAAATGTCTTTTGGTTTTGAAATGACACAGTATATGCCTGTGTGTTCTGATGTGTGGAGGGAAAAATGATCGGTGTGGTGTGGATTATTAGAAACTAGTATTTGTCAGTAAAGCATAGTTACAAAAATCTTAATTATGAGTTTACAAAAAAGAATGCTTATATCTTAATTCACTTTATGGGGTAAATCATGAGGCTTCCTAAACGCTAACTTTACAGTCTTAGAAAATTCTCAGTATTTCAACTCTTTCACATTAAAGAAAGAAATCTAATTGAAAGCAATCTTCTCATTTCCTCTCCATGTCCCTGAGAAAATACTCTTAGATCTAGAAAACAAACAAATAAAAAAGTTAGCATTGGCATGCTTAAGTGACAGCATTCTAGAAAGTGGTACCATATGAAAACAAAAAGGAACAATCACAATGAAAATATATTCCTTAGATCTTAATGACTTTAATTCTTGATTTTAAGAAAGTTGTCAATAGATAGACATTAATTTCAAAAATATAACATCATATGGTATTTTTGTGGAATATAGAGCATCTTGAGAAAGGGGAAGAAACCATGAATCAGGGCTAAAGTATTGATAACTTTTAAAAATTATTTCTATTTTTAGTGGCAAGACTTACCTCCAGCAGAAGGTTAAGTAGGTCAGATAGGTTTGCATTATTTGCTTCTTTTCTTAATGAATTTATATACTTTTAAAGGGGAAAAAAATTAGCTGCTTGTGTAACAAATGCTTTCTGGTTTGGAAAATCTGAAGTTAACTTTGTATTCAGGTGGGTTTTTCTTCCCATGCATGCGTGCTGCATGCTAAGTCACTTCAGTCATGTCCCTACAGACCCGCCAGGCTGCTCTGTCCATGGGATTCTCCAGGCAAGAATACTGCAGTGGGTTGCCATCCCCTCCTCCAGGGGATATTCCCAACTGAGGGATCAAACCCCTGTCTCTTAAATGTCCTACATTGGGAGTCAGGCTCTTTACCAGTAGCACCACCTGGGAAGCCCATTCTCACCCCCCAAAATTTTAAAACTGAGTCAAAGAAACCAAGCCCCTGTTGCACTTACCCCCTGACATTTCAGGATTTCATTTGAGGGCTCCCTCAAATGCCAGTCACCCGGCACGCAAGCTGGTTCCTGCATCTGCACGGAGCACAGCCAGTGTGGTGCAGAGTTTGACATGATACCTTTTCACTCAGAAGCACCTAGAGTAACCGAAAGCCAGGAAGGACACGGTGGGGACTGAACCTTGCATCATGCAGTCAGTAAATGCACTGTATTAATTATGTGAGATGACCAGACAGATTGAAGTAACTGCAGGTTCCTGGGGCAGAGGGGCCCAGAGCACAGAGACCAGACTGTCTTCAAAGGAGAAGTACTCTCCTGGTTTGGGTCAATGTACTGTCAAGAAAACCTCTTTTCCTTCTTCCCACCCCCAAAAACACAGACATGTACCTAAATTTGCATGACATTTCAGAGAACACATTGACCATCATAAAAACCACTAGTTAATTTTTTGACCAGCAGCATTTGGTCATAACACAATGGTGTGATCACTCACCTAGAGCCAGACATCCTGGAGTGCAAAGTCAAGTGGGCCGTAGGAAGCATCACTATAAACAAAGCTAGTGGAGGTGATGGAATTCCAGTTGAGCTGTTTCAAATCCCCAAAGATGATGCTGTGAAGGTGCTGCACTCAGTATGTCAGCAAATTTGGAAAACTCAGCAGTGGCCACAGGACTAGAAAAGATCAGTTTTCATTCCAATCCCAAAGAAAGGCAATGCCAAAGAATGCTTAAACTACCACACAATTACACTCATCTCACATGCTAGCAGAGTAATGCTCAAAATTCTCTAAGCTAGCCTTCAACAATACATGAACCCAGAACTTCCAAATGTTCAAGCTGGATTTAGAAAAGGCAAAGGAACCAGAGACATCAAATTACCCACATCTGTTGGATCATTGAAAAAGTAAGAGAGTTCCAGAAAAACATCTACTTCTGCTTTATTGACTATGCCAAAGCCTTTGACTATGTGATCACAACAAACTCTGGAAAATTCTTCAAGAGATGGGAATACCAGATCACCTGACCTGTCTCCTGAGAAATCTGTGTGCAGGTTAAGAAGTAACAGTTAGAACTGGACATGGAACAAGAGACTGATTCCAAATTTAGAAGGGAGTACATCAAGGCTGTATATTGTCACCCTGCTAATTTAACTTATATCCAGAGTACATAATGTGAAATGGGGGACCAGATGAAGCAAAAGCTGGAATCAAGATTTCCAGGAGAAATATGAATAACCTCAGATATACAGATGACACCACCCTTATGGCATAAAGTGAAGAAGAACTGAAGAGCCTCTTGATGAAAGTGCAAGAGGAGAGTGAGAAAGCTGGCTTAAAACTCAATATTCATAAACGAAGATCATGGCATCTGGTTCCATCACTTCATGGCAAATATATGGGGAAACAAGGGAAACGGTGACAGACTTTGTTTTCTTGGGCTCCAAAATCACTGCAGATGGTGACTGCAGCCATGAAATTAAAAGACACTTGTTCCTTGGAGAAAAGTTATGACCAACCTAGACAACATATTAAAAAGCAGAGACATTACTTTGCTGACAAAGATCTGTCTAGTCAAAGCTATAGCTTTTTCAATAGTCCTGTATAGATGTAAGAGTTTGGCCTAAAGAAAGCTGAGCACTGAAGAATTGATGCTTTTGAACTATGGTGTTGGAGAAGACTCTTGAGAGTCCCTTGGACTGCAAGGAGATCCAACCAGTCCATCCTAAAGGAGATCAGTCCTG